CCAGGAAGCGAGGGGCGGGGGCACAGCTGGCCGTCGCCGGTGGCCGGTCGCGGTGAAACTCATAGGGGCAGATCTGACCGCGAACGGAGACACTCGCTCGGCCACACGGCCCCATACACATACACAGGCCACACAGACCAGGAAGCGAGGGGCGGGGGCACAGCTGGCCGTCGCCGGTGGCCGGTCGCGGTGAAACTCATAGGGGCAGATCTGACCGCGAACGGAGACACTCGCTCGGCCACACGGCCCCATACACATACACAGGCCACACAGACCAGGAAGCGAGGGGCGGGGGCACAGCTGGCCGTCGCCGGTGGCCGGTCGCGGTGAAACTCATAGGGGCAGATCTGACCGCGAACGGAGACACTCGCTCGGCCACACGGCCCCATACACATACACAGGCCACACAGACCAGGAAGCGAGGGGCGGGGGCACAGCTGGCCGTCGCCGGTGGCCGGTCGCGGTGAAACTCATAGGGGCAGATCTGACCGCGAACGGAGACACTCGCTCGGCCACACGGCCCCATACACATACACAGGCCACACAGACCAGGAAGCGAGGGGCGGGGGCACAGCTGGCCGTCGCCGGTGGCCGGTCGCGGTGAAACTCATAGGGGCAGATCTGACCGCGAACGGAGACACTCGCTCGGCCACACGGCCCCATACACATACACAGGCCACACAGACCAGGAAGCGAGGGGCGGGGGCACAGCTGGCCGTCGCCGGTGGCCGGTCGCGGTGAAACTCATAGGGGCAGATCTGACCGCGAACGGAGACACTCGCTCGGCCACACGGCCCCATACACATACACAGGCCACACAGACCAGGAAGCGAGGGGCGGGGGCACAGCTGGCCGTCGCCGGTGGCCGGTCGCGGTGAAACTCATAGGGGCAGATCTGACCGCGAACGGAGACACTCGCTCGGCCACACGGCCCCATACACATACACAGGCCACACAGACCAGGAAGCGAGGGGCGGGGGCACAGCTGGCCGTCGCCGGTGGCCGGTCGCGGTGAAACTCATAGGGGCAGATCTGACCGCGAACGGAGACACTCGCTCGGCCACACGGCCCCATACACATACACAGGCCACACAGACCAGGAAGCGAGGGGCGGGGGCACAGCTGGCCGTCGCCGGTGGCCGGTCGCGGTGAAACTCATAGGGGCAGATCTGACCGCGAACGGAGACACTCGCTCGGCCACACGGCCCCATACACATACACAGGCCACACAGACCAGGAAGCGAGGGGCGGGGGCACAGCTGGCCGTCGCCGGTGGCCGGTCGCGGTGAAACTCATAGGGGCAGATCTGACCGCGCCGGCCTCAACAGAAAGAAGCCAGAAACTTTTTCGGCGCATGCGCCAGGCGACCAACTCCAATTGAAATCAACGGCGGCCATTTTCGATCCGGCATCCGGCCTCCGTGAAGTCAACAACCATGCAGCAGGTAACTTCGACTAGTTAGCTAGCTAATGTTTGTCTAAAAAATCAGAACAGCAGCCTACTGTGTTGGATGTAAGTTTTAAGACAACGCACACGTGTTTTTAGATCGGACATGTCATATTTCATTTTAATGTTGTGCTAAGTTAGTACTAAATTGATGTCTCTGCGGTGTATTTGATCGGCAGCTGTGCCCCGTTTTAAACGGTTGCTATGATTTCTGAGTCAATGCTGTAGCTGGACAGTCTGCCATTATCTGGTGCTCGTAACGTTTCATTCGTTCCACTTGTGAAAGCCAACACCTGGTTGGTACTATATGCAGCGTGCCTAGTTTAGTTTGCATCAAGTGCAAATATCATGATCAAATTACTACACAAAAGGACCAAAAAATACAAAATAAAATACCATGTATGATCTGATAGGTTTGGTTTTAGTCACACACACAACAAAACAAATGTTACCTTGCAAAATATGCATTGCAAAATATTTTACATATGCAAATGTATGTAAATTGGATTAAAATACGTAGGCCTTGGAAGGTTTTTAACAGAATATGTATTTTCCCATATCCTGTGTAAAGTAGAGCATTTTTTTCTTCTAACTCTCAAGGACAACTGTGTTTGCAGCTTTTCCGTTGATTATCCTGACACTTAAAGCTTCACAATAAAAGTAGCTAACCCAGCAAACATGAGCTATCCTGCCAAAGCCTTTTACAGCTTCCATCAGTGCCCCTTGTTTTGTAGCATGTGAAGTGTGTTGTGCCCTATTTGACAAATTTGAATGATGGTGCCAGCCTCCAGTGTCACCATCCTGCCCTCTGTTGGCTCTGTTGATGTACTGCGTTAGCATGGCGCAGACTTTTTCCCACAATCTGAAAAAGTCTCTTGTATCTTTTTATCATTAATTACTCAGATTTCATTCTGTGACATTATGCAATTGGTCGCTTTAATGCTCCAGTCCCACAACTGTATTTTAATCTGTCCATTCAAGCTGCTGTTTCCTCTTATGTTGATAAGGGTTAGACCTCCCTCCCTTCTTTATAGGCTTGAATCTGTCTGTCTGTTTGACTGACTGCATGCATCATCAGATATGTCCCAGCATGCTGCAGTGTGTTGTGTGACCATATGCACGTCTGTTGGAAATACTATGCATATGTGCGTGTCCAGGAGGGCCCTGCTCCTGTCTCAGCAGGCCACTGGTACACTGGCTGCAGTGTCTGGTGGCAGCTGTCGCTCTGTGTGTCCCTGTTTCAGGTGACACGGTGGCTCCTCATGTCATATCATTGTTCTGCCTCAGCACTCAGACACCAGACTCCTGGCTCAGCTGCTCGCCCTGAGACCGAGGTAGCTCTCCCCAAAGAAGGAAGGTGCTCCGGAGATAAAAGCAGGCACGCTTCTTCGCACGCCAAGTTGAATGTGAGTGTATGTTATTTTCATGCATGGGTAGTGCATGTCTGAATTTGCATGCCTGAGTGTGTGTGTGTGCTCTCTCCTGTGTCATCCCTCCGGTATTTTGGGGGGAGCCTGTCTCCAAAGCTCAGAGCACACAGAAGGATGAGTCTGAAAAATACAGGCATTCTCTTCTATTTCTATATTATCTCACCCAAGGGCATGCTGATATAATGAATACATCATTCTGTTATCTCAAGTGCGCAGTACATTCGCTGATACTTTTTGCCAAGTGGACTTAGACGATTTGGGAAAGTTTCACATTTAAAAACATGTACAAGTCCTCCCTTTGTGCGTTTAAGTAGTTTATCTGTGGCCTTCTGAATTTCTTCAGAGGTATAAAACTGTGTCAAGGTGATCTGGGCTGATATCCTTCTGAGGATGTTTGTGTGTGTGTGTGTGTGTGTGTGTGCATCTGTGTGAGTGTGTGTGATGAGAGACAAAGAGAGACATTGAAAGTATTTTGGATCCAGAGTCATATCGAGGCCTATTCACAGCTTTTAAAAAAAACAGCTTATTCTTGTGCACAGACAAAGTTGTAAGTTTGGTCCTCTCTTCACCAAATTCCTTTTTAAAGTGGATTGGGAAGGGGGGAGGTCAGTGGAGATTAGTAGAGAAAAAAGCACTGAATTTGCATTTGCAGGTGATGTCCTTGCTGCTGCAGATACATTAAGTCTTGCACAACCCGTTAGAGGCGGGGTAGGGGAAGATATTCCATGATGATCCACCCCACCCTTCACACAGCATGCTTTTAAAATTCATATTCATTTACCACACTCTAATTTCACTCAATGGCCAACAGGAGCAAAATATGGGCTCTTCTTTACATGGTCAGTTTACTTTGGAAATTGTTTACTTCCCTGTCTCGGTTGACTTTTCTGCAAAATACAAACTTTATCTTGGGCAGCAGAATGTCTATTTCCATACAAATTAAAGTTTGACGAAAGCTTTTTAAAGGAAAATAGAAGTACTTTAGAGGCAGGCGTTGGGCGAGAAGGCTAAGCCTCCGAGAAACTGGCCCTTTGGGAGGGAAAGGACTAGAGAGTGGGATACCAGGCAATTCATCAGTGCCTGAGAGCGCTGTGATCCGTTGCAGCAACCAGTATGCTAATGTTCTCCTCCTGAATGGATATGTCACTCTCCTTCCTGATGTCAGTGCGTGAGGGTGCCAGTTTAATCTCATGTAACAGATGTTTGGAGTAAGACTGTCAAATTTAACTTTCCTCGTGGTGTTGATGAACAATCCACTCTGACAGTTTTATTCCACATCAGTAAAAAGCAGTTGCACGTTCATCGTCTTAATGCAAGAAGCACATAAACGTTTAGGATTGATGTTTCAACAACATCGAGCTCAGGCACTTACAGTAACAGTCATATACCTGGGGAAGTCTGAAGAAGTGCCCATAGAGGTCCTGCTGCCATGATATCCATTGTGTTATTAACTTTTATAAGTCAACTCTTAGTTGTGATCTTAGGAGAAGCTTGATAGATACGGGCCCAGGCCACCAGTGCAAAGGATGTCCATTCAGATTCATCTGGAGTCTCAGGCCACCACCGAGCCTCTGGGCTCTGATTATGATTGCCTGAAGAACAATAAGCACTTGAAATTCTCCCCACTTGACACCCACCTCTCGTCTGTTCTGTCATGGCCCTGTGGCGCACACGATTGCAAAAAGTAATCAAACAGGAACCTGAGATCCACATTTCCAAAACACCCATCAACCCCCCAGTGTTCAGTATCAGCACGTCTCATGATTGGTTGGAGAAAACAAACAAGCTGAAATTTGTTCAAGGCTTTGACTTTGTTGGTGCTTTTATTGTTTCTTCATCTCTCCTCATCCAGTTCCACTAATGGTGCTTAAAGCTTTATTTTCCCCTTAATCAAATGCCCCCCCCCCCGTCCCCCCTCCTTCCATCTCCTCCATCTCTCATGGTGTTCTGTAGGCAGGTGTTGTTGAAATCTTGAACCGTGCATTTCCTCATCAAAAGAACAGTTGTTATTTAAACAGTCTTTTCTTTCAAGGTGACTTCTATCATAGTTGTCACTCCACTGGTTTTGATGTTGTAATGATGTTTACTGTGACATTTGCTCAACTGCTGTATGTTGAAATGGGTGGCACCGTAGTGCAGTGGCAAGCACACTCAATTCCCTGAGGTTCTGGGTTCGATTCCCAGACCCGGTGCCTTTCTGTGTGGTGTTTTACATGTTCTCCCCGCCTCAGCGTAGAGTCTCGCCCCCACCAGCCAAAAACATGAACACTAGGTAGATGGGAGACTATGAAGTGTGTGAGTTTGTGTGCGTGTTGTTTGACTCTATATGGTGACCTGTCCAGGTGAATCCCGCCCTCGCGGCCTCGCCCCATGTTAGCTGGGATCAGCTCCAGCCCCCCTGTGACCCTGCATAGATAAGCGTTATATGTGATCGATGGATGGCTGGATAGACTGTTGACACTTGCTTGGATGCTTAGTCACCATGTGTTAACATAAGTAACTGCCGATTGATTTTTTTCAAGTCCCATGATGCACCGGTGTTGTTATCAGGTGACTCATCGTGACTGGAGATGGAGCTCCTTCGTGAGTGCATGTTCCCGCATTGATATTCTGTCCAAGTCTTAATTGAGGGATTGAGAATGCAGAGGGTGATCATGGGACAGGATTTATGAGATTTATCACATTTTGCTTCACTTGTTTACCCAACTGCTCTGCAATTATGCATAACCTGTAGCAGCTTTACAAAACACAGCCAGAGCCAGTGTTTTGGCCCGGGGCAACAAATCAGCAGAGAAATGAAGCAGTTACACAAAACACTGATATTCTGCAAGGATGATTGTTATGAGTATTATTATAATCACCATCATGATCATTATTATTATTATTATTATTATTATTATTTTGCATCATCCTGATAGTAAAAGAAAAACATACAAAGCACAGCATACTGAGGATTTTGTGGAGAAAACAAATTATCAGCAGCTGAAATGAATAATGGCAGACAGTACACACCCAGTTTTCAGTTTATTAGAACACTTGCTAAACAGAATAATAATGATTTCTTTTCATTTTGGAGGATGCAGTGTGTGTGGCACTGTTTTTCAATCCCGCCCTCACTGATATAAAGACACTTCTCCATGTAAACACATTATAATTCACAAACTCCGGCTGAATCAACACCTCAGAACAATATACTGTTTATACAATTTCAAGTTGATTATACATTCAATTAACTAGCATCCTTGCCCATGCACTCCTGTTTCTGGGTCTGTGGCTTGTTTGTTTTTGTAGAGAGACAGTTGCAAGGCCAGTTTCCCGTGAAGGTACAAAAACTATGATGCGACTGATGTGACCCGATGTGAATTTAAGTCTTTTACTGAGACACAGAGAAAGATTTTAGGACTGAATGTGAGATTAAAAAGACTAGTATTACACCTCTGATGCTCAGTGACCGTGTGTCTGTGCTATTCCTGCCCACAGCTTAACTAACTGGATTTTCACTTTCCTCAGTTGTATGGATCCAGGGTAAATGAGGAGTGGGAGTAATCTGATGGTTCAACCTTTCCCATTAAATGATAAGAAGGCCATCTGCTGACAGGTCTGCATGTTAAGAGACTTGCCACTGACAAATACAACACAGTCAGTCCAATTTCTCTTTTCAGCATTGTTCTTCATCAAAGGCAGCCCCAAGGTGAAGGTTATATGGGAGAACGTCTAATGATGTGTGGACCAAATCAATCTATTTCCATTCCACTGTGGCTTTTCTCCACACGATTAATGGAGGAGGCCTCCGCTTCCCATCTGTACTTCACACGTGTTGTGTTCAAGTGTCCATCGAGGTGCAAAACCAAGTACGTACCAATCAGAACAGAACTGGCAGGTCGTAGCACTGTGGGTCTCAGTCATTTAAACCATCATTAGCTTTTGCTAATTCACTGTGGCTCTTCTGTATATGCCTGTAGTGAAACCTGATAGCTCATATTGACCTTTTATCAGTAGGTAAATACAGTTAATAGGTTTCCAGCACTTGGACAGCAGGTAATTGGCCTCACTGAACATGCTGGGATGGGATCTGGGTTTTCCTTTTTACATATGTATCTATGTATTTATTGATTTTGAACGTTGGGTTACATGGTAAATGGTACAAATATGTCTTATTGATCACTGTCAGTATTTTTTTTTTTTTTTTTAATCTGAAAATCTAATGCTCCTAAACTCTGCTGTGCATCTTGTGGTGGTTCTGGATGTCTGTTGGGCCACAGAGGTGAAGATAACCGACCTTGAGAGTCTTCAAAACTCTTACCAGCTCTTCAAAAGGACTGATCTGTTCAGCAGCTCTGGCCCATTTTTTCCAGCTCTGCAGGCAGCAGCTGTGTCTCAGCTCGGAGCTGAAGGACACATCTTTGGTTTTAAGGTCAGCGGCCCTGTTAGTCCGTCTGCCTTAATCACCTTTCACATTAGCATGTTGGCACTGCTGGGGATCGATCGGCTGCCCACACTCTCCATGTCTTCTGGCCTTTGTTCAATCACACTCGTCTGACTCGAATCAACCATAATTTATTTGTCTTACAACGGGAAGAGACACACACCAACCCAGCTTAATCAGTGTTGGAAGGGAGGAGGGATGGTAACGATCGATCAGAGGCTCGTCCACAGGTTACAGGCAGCTCAGCAGCCACAGGTTCAGCTATAGAAACCGAGCATTATTGTTAATTATCTCCCAAACAAATATATGAGTTCTATCCAGACCTTCTAACATCATTGTCCTTGTTGAAAGTCAAACCGTGTTGTGTCTGTTGATGCATCACCAACAGGTCGGTCGACATAAAGAGAGACAGTGGAGCTGACATCAGTGCAGCACAGTTGGTGCATCCTGTCGGAGGAGCTCAGCATGACTCAGTGTTTATATTGTGACATTAACATCCTGGATTATGCAGTTTTAAAAACATGTAACTTGTTTTGAGAGTTCCCAGAGAATTAATTTGCAGCGTGCTCTTTTATGCTCCTGCAGATTTCCTGACTTTAATTTTGACGCTATCAATATCTCTGAGTCCCCACACGGGTTTCTCACCATCTGCTGCGTCTCAGTTCTGTAATTCATATACATACACGCATATATCCACCTGTCAGACCTGCATGGAGTTTTCAGAGGCGGCTGGATTTATTCTCATATGGCATAATTCCTTGAAAATTGTTTTTAAGGCTCTGCAGGGAAACGGGTCACACAGTTTAAGAAATGATGCAGTTGAGGCATTGTTTCCCATATGCTCTGCTGAATTTACATTTTATATTTGTCACATTTACATGTGAGTGTTTCACCCGAATGTGTTTTTAATGTTGATTTTTCAAATTGCTTCCATGTCTTTTTTATATAAGGATTTGGATGAGCCGCTGGAGCAGAGGAGGACGAAGTAAGGAAAGGAAAAGTTCACAGGAACAAAACCAGTAGTTTTCAACATTTCATTTATTCAACATTGCAGCAAATGTCAGGTACCCCTGCTGCCGTAAGGCTGTCATTTGAGGAGACACTTCTGAGGAGATGACGTTTTTGAGAGAAATGTTGTTTTTATTTCCCCTTAAGTTGCTGCTGTACCTTAACTTTAATCTGAGGGGTGTGAACAGAAACCACAGATGGTGTTTACCTGCAAAATAATAGGCTACACATCAACACAGAGAGAGCTTCCCCCCTCCAGTCTGGCTCTATCACAGTGCTGTTATTTGCTCTTCTCTGTAGTGTCTGTGTGTAATCAAAGATTCGGTCAAATATGGATCAGTTTTGTGACAGAAAAAATGTGATTCTGAATCCTAGATTAACACTGATAATGTTCACTGGCACTCAGCAGCATTTTCCTTAAATGCAACAGCATGTGCAGTGTGTCTCTGTGTGTGATTAAAGTTAACTGGCATGGTCAGATATGGTAAGTGATAGCAGTGTGGGATGTACGGAAGCATCAGCGTTCCCTGTAGAGAAACAATTAGATGATAGAGCCAGAACCATACGTTAGTTTGGCAGCAGGTTACAGGAGCCGAGAACTCTCTCTGACTAAAACACACAGACAGAGAGGTAAACACAGGAGCACATATAAAACAAACTGCCATTTTCTAAGTGTCACTGCAAATGTTTCTTGTAAATCACATTCACAAGCTGCTCCTCTCATCTCCGAGTGTTTTTGATGTTTGGGCGCTGCTTGAAATGTCAGAAACACTCAGGAATACAAAGTGTTCAAGACTCTAAAGTTGTGTTAGAAGATGTGGATGTGAAGGAAGGAAGGCTGCAGACGAGGAGAGAGTAATAAACACGGTTTGCTTCATGTTGAGCTTCACTCTCTCCTCTTGTTGAAATGAGACTCAGTTATTTTTGTTGACATGTGGAATTCAATAGAAAAAGCAACCTGACCTCCATCTGGCATTTTGTTTCTGCAGATCCACCATCTTCCTGCTGTAATACACCCCTTCAGTGAACAGGTAAACTGCACAGACCATCATCACCTTGATCCACAAGGACACACAAACACCAATCTGTGCTTCAGTCAATCAATAACAACAGCCAGTCAACACCACTATCACAGGTGATGTTGCTGTGTGAAGGGTTTACTCTTAAATCCTCGGTAGATGTTTGAAGAAAGACAGAGTCCACTAACGAATGTTGGTGCAGCTGTATGTTCCCTCTCTGTCTGCTCTGTTGATTTGTTGTTGACTTGTGATTACTCATGCAGCTGGGAAGTCATTAAGGAACAGACGCTACGTTCTCACACCTGAGCACCACAGAAGAAGTCGCTTTTGTATAGAAGATGTATGGAGTGTCGTCATGATGTGTGGTATCCATTCTGTAGAGACTATCAGCCCATAAAACACTCTGGCAACTGTTGTGTGTAAAGCCAAAAATAAACATAGCTGTGGAGACCTAAATTAATGTAGAGAGGATAATCATCAGCTCGCTCTGGGACCAGTTGTAAATTTTTAGTGGTTTCTTTATCAGGATAAAAGCTTTGGGTCGGTCTCTTTTAAATCGGTAATAATAATTGTTTTGCCCCTCGGTGCACACAACTGATGAACACGTTTTTAAAGTTGTTCATCATAGCAAACAGATGTTAGTTTTAAGTCTAATAATTGTTCTTTCAGCTCTGGTTTGGTCTCAGCTCCAGTGTTAAGCATCTCACTGTGGAAACTGCAGAATCAGACGTGCTCTCACCCG